ACTGCAGTCTACTCTATGAGACAGGTGAAAAACTATAAATCCTCAGAGTGCGAGTGGGGAGAGACTACCTTCAGAATACACATCCCCATGAGGGAATCTGAAAATCCAGGCCATGGGAGAAGGCCTTACCCGTACCCAGAGCTGGAACTGCTTAAGGGAGTGGTGAGAAACATAAAAGCAGAAGTAGCAGCAGGAAATGCCTTGCAGGCATTCCCAGTTCCCAGCATGGACCAAGGGAAGCCATACCTAAATATATCTCACAGGGACCTTGGGGAAGCCAGCCAACTACCTTAGAAAGGGGTTACAGAATGAAAGATGCTCCTAACTGAATTTCATGATATAATCTTGAGCAGGAATGAACTCTCTTGACTAGAATCCAGGGGGCAGGGACTTGCATTGCAGATACATCTGTTTCATGGGCAGACAGGAGGGGCACAGGTGGGAAAGCTTATAGTTTGGAGCAGGTCTGGGTTCTGTGTGCAAACTGCCTGGATCTAAACCTGGTGCTGCTAATGGAACACTGAGGGAGTGAAATCGGCCTTGCCAACTGCATGGGAGTTGGGTGAGGCTTACTGCTGCCTGCTACTGTCCACTCCCACTATACACTCTTCTGTGCAGCAGAGGCAGTTATACGACCCTCTGCAACATTATCCCAGCTGCCTGAGAACCACCCCCTGACCCTTAAAGGAGCCATGGTTGGCCTCACTTAAGAAGAGTCAGAGTACAGACCTGCTCAACCCTATCCCTACCTGGTAACCTGTACCCGCCCTGGTAACTTAACACAAAGAACATAAACTTGTGGGAGCTCTACAGCGCTGCCCATTGCCTCAGAAACCATATTAATTCCCCGAGGCAATTTAGGACCAGCTCAAATCCCACAGCTAGTACTGCAGCTCGTGCTCTCTTCCAAGCACCACCTCTTGGCTGGAGGCTAGCTGATGCAGTCCACTACATCTACAGGTAGAATAACACTATGCCCAGGAAGGCGAAAATGGCTGCATGACTTCAGCTATCACCAGTGCCTATAATACTCTAGCCATCAGAGGTCCTGAGCCTGTCCATGTGAAAGTTAACTACAATTAAAACCAGCATTCAAGAAAGCCAGCACACTAAGCACATCTATAACCAAGGATACTCACAGAGTCTACGTCACTCCCCTGCTACCACCAGAGCTACTGCTGGTATCCACTCCTGGGAGACTTGAAGACAGGTCACATCACTGGATCAATTGCAGACATTTCCCAGCGCCAGCCTGGCGTGTGGCAGCCCTACTGGGTGGCTAGACCCAGAAGAGCAACAGCAATCAATTTAGTCTGGCTATGAGGAACTCCTATTCCTAGGGGAAGGGGGAGAGCACCACATCAAGGGAACACCCCACAGGACAAAAGCATTTGTACAGCAAACCTTGAATCCCACGTCTTTCTGCGGGTGGAAAGTTTCCTGCAGCAGAGACACAACTGCAGTTCTGGATGCACAGGGAAAGTCTGCACCTCTACCCCAACAGGCAGGCAGCCTGCATGCTTGTGAAAGGCTGTGGAGAAGGGGTCCTCGTTCCTCACCTTGTCCACCACCACAGACATAGCTAGAACTTCTCCCATGGGAACTCAGCATGAATGCACCTATGGAGAGCCCTCCTGGAACAATTCAGGGTGACTGCATCCCCACAGGAGAAGCACTTTCTAGGTTCAGGCTTGCACAAAAGGCAGAGTCACAATTCCTTTCTATATGGAATATCAACATCCCTCATTCCTACAGATGAAAAGAAGTGCCTGTCTGAGGTGAATAGCTGAAATATTAGGATAGAAGTAAGGCTGGGAGGTGGATAACTTTCTTGCTGGCCTGACAGGTGAGCTGAGTTAGTTCCCACTCTTCACCCTGATAAAACTCAGTGCATCTAACTGAGAGATCCCCTAGCTACCTTCACCAGGGCTAGGGCCTTGGCCCACCATTGGGTATTGTATCTAACCACCTGCTTTAGCTGTAACTGGTTTATATCTAGGGATACTTCCCCTACTGGCCTGAAGCCTGGATAATCAACAGAGTAAATAGAATACTGGGGAAAAATTAAACAAATAAAAAGTGCATGCCATGGGGGAATGAGATAAGCTTCAAGAGATCCTTGCCATTCCAACTCCACAGTATACAATGAAATTGCCCACACACTGAGTACTCACTACAATCAGCATCTGAGAAAGTAAGCATACAAAGGCTCTGTATAACCAAGAAGCTCATAGAGAATCTTCACCCCTAAAAGCAGCAAAATCAAATTAGGCTATAATAAACTATAAACATTAAAGTCACATCTTTAAGAGGGGGAAAAAGAAATTAAAAAATAAATACAGTCAAATAGAAAATAAATTCAAGAACAATTTGAAGAAACAATCTACACAAATGAGAAGGAACCAGAATATACAGGTAGTATGACAAAACAGGGTTCAAAAGATC